TTAGTGCAAAAACTGGAGGACCAAGCAGGAATAACAGGGAAGGCACTGCAATGGATCAGGGAATACTTGTCAGGAAGACAGCAGCGAGTAATGGTACGAGGCGAGGTGTCAGAGTGGGTACCTGTGACCAGTGGGGTCCCACAGGGGTCAGTCCTAGGACCAGTGCTGTTTCTGGTATTTGTGAACGACATGACGGAAGGAATAAACTCCGAGGTGTCACTGTTTGCAGATGACGTGAAGTTGATGAGAAGAGTTCATTCGATCGAAGACCAGGCAGAAATACAAAGGGATCTGGACAGGCTGCAGACCTGGTCCAGCAACTGGCTCCTGGAGTTCAATCCTACCAAGTGCAAAGTCATGAGGATTGGGGAAGGGCAAAGAAGACTGCAGATGGAGTACAGTCTAGGGGGTCAGAGACTACAAGCATCACTCAAGGAAAAAGATCTTGGGGTGAGTATAACACCAGGCACATCTCCTGAAGCGCACATCAACCAAATAACTGCTGCAGCATATGGGCGCCTGGCAAACCTCAGAACAGCATTCCGACATCTTAATAAGGAATCGTTCAGGACCCTGTACACCGTGTATGTTAGGCCCATATTGGAGTATACGGCACCAGTTTGGAACCCACACCTAGCCAAGCATGTAAAGAAACTAGAGAAAGTGCAAAGGTTTGCAACAAGACTAGTCCCAGAGCTAAGAGGTATGTCCTACAAGGAGAGGTTAAGGGAAATCAACCTGACGACACTGGAGGACAGGAGAGATAGGGGGGACATGATAACGACTTACAAAATACTGAGAGGAATTGACAAGGTGGACAAAGACAGGATGTTCCAGAGACTGGACACCATAACAAGGGGACACAGTTGGAAGTTGAAGACACAGATGAATCAAAGGGATGTTAGGAAGTATTTCTTCAGCCACAGAGTAGTCAGGAAGTGGAATAGTTTGGGAAGCGATGTAGTGGAGTCAGGATCCATACATAGCTTTAAGCAGAGGTACGATAAAGCTCATGGTTCAGGGAGAGTGACCTAGTAGCGACCAGTGAAGAGGCGGGGCCAGGAGCTTGGACTCGACCCCTGCAACCTCAACTAGGTGAGTACAACTAGGCGAGTACACAGGTACACGTAAATAAAGTTATCATACATAGTATAAATTACCTAGGATAATCCAAATAATCCAGACAAAGTGCTATACAGTGGATCTGTGCTCCAGTGCCCTAAATTAATAATAATAATAATAATAATAATTATTATTATTACAATAATACATATGTACTAATATTAATAATATTATTGTTATTAAACTATAATATAATAATCGTGTCCACTCATTACTTACCTTAAAATATCTGTAGTCTTAATGTAGAGTGAGAGGTGAGTAAACAAGATTAAATGAATAAACAAGAGAGAGAATGAGAATGTAGAATGTTCACGAGTTATGTAAACAAACGTTGTTGTTGTTGTTACCAGCCCGGACACGAATGATTCCTGTTCACTCTGTCAAGCCGACCAGAAAAATATCTCATATTTGTTAATTTATATGTTTATATGTTATGTAGCATGTTTATTATATAATTTTGAAAAAGAAATCATAGATGGATTAAGCAAAATGTCTATATCAACGTTTTATACACATTTAATGCGCCTCAGTGATTGTTATTGTGTTGTTGTTATTATTAATATGGCATCTTCAAGACCAATTACACTCTTAATGAGTGCCTCTGAGACAGACAAGCAGACAGAAAGACAGACACTCAGGTAGACAGACACACAGGTAGACAGACAGACACACAGGTAGACAGACAGACACACAGGTAGACACAGACACACACAAGTAGACAGACACACAGGTAGACAGAAAGACACACACAGGTACACAGACACAGGTAGACAAAGACACATAGGTAGACATAAAGACAGACACACAGGTAGACAGAAAGACAGACACACAGGTAGACAGACATAAACAGATGCACAGAGATACACAGATATATAGGCAGACAGATACAGACAGGTTTATGTGCAACAGTGAAAACAAATAGAGTTTGAGAGTAAGAGCCTTTCTTGCCACAATCTTCAGTGCAAGATTCAGACTTCATTTTAGGGGCCATGGTGAAATTTACTGTCCAGTTAGTACAGTTAATACAGTATGATGCTGCTGATAGGACAGGGTTACTCTAACTGATGCTGCCTGCATGACGCATTGCCGCCGCGAGTATTGTCAAATATTGTACAGTGGTGTGCATCAGCCGGCCCAGCCCAGCTGCCAGATGCACGGTCATAAGTCGAGTGGACGTATGTCGAGCAGGTCGTAAGTCGGATGGTAGGTGCACTCTTACATTGTGTACAAGTTGTACAAGTTAGTACAGAATAAACAAACAGCAACACTCCCATTCTCATGCAACACACCATTTTTAGAGTGAATGAAGATGATGATGCTATTATTATCATCACAATAAAAAAAGCACTAAACCCTCAAGGGTCATGAATTGCTATATATAGAGTGAAGGCATACGAAAGGAATATTTTTCTACAGTTATCCCCCGGTGTTTGACTAGAGAAAATGTAATTCTTCCGACACTACCTACACAGCCGCTTTGTAAACAAATCTCATATTTACGTCAAATCCCATGTTTACATGAGTGTATGTATCATGTTTATGTGCTATGTAACGTGTTTCTTATATAATTTTGAGGAAAATATCATAGATGGATTAATGAAAATGTCTATATTAATGTAAAATAAGACATTTAATGTGCCCAAGAGTGATGATTATTTCCTACTATTGGCGTCATGAGTAGAGAGACTTAGTGATTTTAATGTGTACCTACACACCATCACAGTGTGTAAGTACATTTAGGTAAAGGTACACATAAGTATAATTATCAGAGTACATATAAAATACGCAATAACTGTAAAACACTTGACATTTTGGAAAGTTTCCAGACATAATAGATGTGGTCATGGAGAATGTAAACAAATTGGGTGGGGCGTGTCGTATTGAAAGACCACTTGCCATATAGCAAATTTTGGTCATAATCTGACATCGCTGTATTAGCAGAACGCCGTAAAGCGGGGCCCTACTGTATATGTGACTTTAGCCCTTCTGCAAAACAGGAGAATTATTTGTCAAGTTGCATGGAGGTTAGTTTAATATGATGGCTGTGGATTACGATGATCCTTCTTAACCGGCAGCTGCTGCCCTAAAAGATTTCACAAGATAGAAAAGTAATATTCTTTACATAATTACTTTTATTAGTCATCAGCATTTCTTTGGCAGAGGTATTCATTAGAACAATTTATTTGTTTTTAATTTGGTTTTTTAACTGGTTGTCTCCAACAGAGATAGGGTGTCTGAAAAAGAAGAAACACTGGTACCATCCTGTACTCCATCACTGTCTTGCCAGAGGTGTGCTGATATTATAGCTTAGCAGACTTTGATTTGAGCGTCCTCCCCCCAAAAAAAGTCTTTGGTCAACTTCTTCACCTTTCAATAACCTGGCTGTATCCCATCGAAGCAGGGTGGCCCATGAAGAAAAACAAAAGTTTCTCTTTTTAACTTCAGTAATGTATACTGGAGAAGGGGTTACTAGCCACATGCTCCCGGCATTTTAGTCACCTCTTAACCCTTAAACTGTCCAAGTAGATCTAGATTCACATGCATAGTGCTCCAAAAGTAGATATACGTTTTTTTACATATTTTCAAATATAACAACAAAAAAAGTAAATCAAAGTTTTTTTTTACACGTTTTCAAATGTAAAAAAAAAAAAGATCTACTTTTTTTACATACTTTCAAGTGTTGAAAAAACATATATATACGTTTGGACTGTTTATGGATTAAGACACTCATGGCTTACAGGGGAAGAATTCTGTTCCACTTCCCCATGGAGATTTGGTCAACATATCTTTATAAAAATATCCAATTCTTTCAGACTGTTCTTCTTGGACAGTCTTAGAAAACATGTGTAGATTTGCTTTTTATAACGGTTTTCCTTTAACTTACTTTTTATGAATGTTGCATTGTTTATTGCTCAGAAATCCTATATAACCATTTTTATAATTTGGGGTCTTTGCATAAACTTATATTGCATCCTTTCCTTTATCTGTTTTTTTTCTTTTTACACTATCAAGAAGACAATTGTTGGAAGTCCAACTTTTAGGAAGGTTGACACACACTGCAGAGAGGAATTTTATATAATTTTTTCATGTGGAAAAAACCTATTCAGTCAAGTGAATAAGCCAGTTCCACAGGCAAAACATCTGAAGAAAGTTTCTCAGCAAATTACTTGTTTTTCCATGGTCACCATCTCTTATTCAATAGTTGTCTTGCCAGAAGTGTATAGACATAATTTGAATGACCCTCTGAGCTGGAACATCCCCTTCCCTCCTTCAGAGTGCAGGCACTGTACTTTCTATTTCCATGACTCATACCTGGCAAACTGGACATATTTAACAGTTATAACATTAACATTTTTTCCAATGCATAATACTGTACTTCGTTCAGTTCTGTGGTAGTAGTAGTGACTTAACAAAAGATTGAAATGAGTCACTGGTTTTATGGTGTTGGGTACATGCTTTTGACTATCTGGTGTTATCTTCCCTTAGTCATGTGTAAACCTCAGGTACTTTTTTTTTCTATTGGGATGTGTCAAGCCTGCCATTTGGAACATGTCATGTCTTAAGTAGACTATGGAAGGAAGAAGTCTCATGTTATTAATGTACTTTATCAAACTTTTCTGTTTTGCATGTACTGTATGTGAAAATTAAGATTTTGTGCCTTTATGGAATTTGATAGATATTGGAAGTAGAATAAAAGTCATTGCTCTAAAGAAAACCTTGTTAAGAAAACATTACCTTTTTTGGATAAATGGTTAAAATGTTTTTAATTCTAAACATCCTCTTGATTTTGTCAAGCAGATAAGAATGTATTGGCTTCCACTGACAAGGTTTTACTTTATTTAGTAATCATATTCGGCCACTATGAAACCTTCTTGCAGAGCTCCTTCGCTTGAGACTGTCTCAAATTGAAGTGGAACTGCAAGAAAAGACTGAAAGCTTGACCAAAGAACTTGCCAATCTTAATCGTGAGAATGCTGATCTCAAACACAAAATTGAAGCCAATGGTTAGTTCTCCATCATAAGATACAAGTACTGTACTGAGGTGCTTAATAATAATAACTTGAGTATTGGTGATTGGTATTTACTTGCAAATTAACTTATATGGACGATTTATTATTTTCTTAATGTACTACATTTCCGTCTGATTTTGGTAACAGTGTTTGGGGGACATACACACATTTATGATAAAGTACAACCTTGGTAATCTGAGTCATTCTGTAAAATAGCACAGTAGTTTTCAAGTGCAAATGTGGTATATTGGTGGAAAAAGTCAACCACACACTAAAGAAAGATACTGTATAAGTAATTACACAATTGTACTGGGTTATTCCTTTTCATAAAACTTTAAAAAATATCTTTGCTACTTAGGTAGTTTTTGTAGAATAAAGATGGTAGTGAATTGCTTTTGGTGACTGGAGCAACAAACCAACACATAAATATGAAGATATGTAATGCAGAACAAGCCTTTATTTTAGATGACATTTTGGTTAGGGTTGAGCTTTATAGTCTTTTTGAATATCAAGACCTGGTGAAAAAGATGCATGTGCAACACTTGGGTATTGTTACTCCCATCTTTGGCAGTGGATATAGGTGAATATAACAATGGAGACAACAGAAGTAATAGTTTTGAGAAGATTGCTCTTGCAGCCTTGTTAAGTGGTGATCACTTTAAGTCTAAAGCACAGGCATGCAGCCAGACCTTGTGAGGGCTTGACCACCTTCTGCCAATACTGAGGATTGATCATCTTAAAAGTATTATATCCACTCTCTACAGTATTCACCTATATTCAACTGAAAAGCCCATTGAACAGATGAAATGTTTTGGCCACAAAGATACCCAAGTGTTGCACATGTTTTATTCATCAACTTGTAAATATTATATAATGTCTTTTATAATATTAAGACTTGCTCTGTTTTACAAGTCTTTATGGTCACTGTACATTAGGAATGTGTAGACAGTCACTAACCCTTTGACTGTCGCAAGCCCCTATCTGAAACTGTCATTCTATGTCGCAAAATTTTTGGAAAAAAAAAAAAAAATTCTTATGAAATGATAGAGAATCTTTTCCCGATGGCATTGACACCAAAAGTACAAAATTTGGTCGAAAACTCACAGAATTACGCTCCCACAAAGTTAGCGGTCTTGGCGACATACACGCATCGGTGATTTTGTCGACTTTGAGCCCTGTTTTTGGCCAATTCCGTTGTTCCAGTTGACCAAACTCATAGCTACTTCTTTAGAACTCTATTTTTTTCTATCAGCTGAGTACAAGAAACTGCCCATTTACCGATTTGAACTACCCAATAAAGTGGTCAGAAATTGGCAGTTTGGCCAATTTCACACAAATTAAAAAAGATGCCAATTTCAAAATAGGGTCCAGAATAAACAATGTACACATTCTTGGCACTAAAATAACATATCCTCTGTTCATTAGTCACATCTCTAAGCCCTTCTTATATTACTATTGCTTTCTATTTTTATTTTTTATTCATACAAAAAATACAAAATTTACTGTTATGCAGACTACTGCATTATTGTAAAAATGGTATAAATAATATCAGTGCACTAGTGAAAAAATATTAGACTCCCCAGTTGACGTGTATTGGACGTGTGGTGTGATTTACTTACTCCTGAAAATTGGTAAAAATCAAACATTTCCGCTACTTTGAGCTCAATTTCAAGGTTGTTTTCATTGTGAAACTAACCAAAATCATCTCTATTTCTGTAATATATTTTCCATTTTATCACGTGAGACCATGAAAACGAGAATACAACGATAAGTACTATACAAAAATACACCTCAAAGTTGGCATTTTAATAAAAAAAAAGTCGTTTTTTTTTTTCTACATTATGCATGCAATGTACAGATTTTTTTATGTTGGTGCACACTGAACCACACAGACCCATTCTCTCACATGTGGGAGCTCCAGTTTCTCCTGCTTGATTTGATGCGCTAAATTTATGCGTATTTAATACGTCCAAAACACTTGCTATAAGACGTATTATATACGGACCAAACAGTCAAAGGGTAATAGGATTAATTGCAAGCTGAAAAAACTCTCACCTAAAGTGTGACATTACTCATAAAAGTTGAGTGTGGCAACTGTAAATTCTGCTTCAGCGACAAAAAACAACATGTTTGCCAAATGGGTTAGTGTCGCAAACCCTTAACCCCTTCAGGGTCCAAGGCCAAATCTGACAGTTGGTGCTCCAGTGTCAAAGAAATTTTGAACAAAAAAAAAATAAATTTTTTCTTTACAGAAGCTTGGGTGGTAATGCAGCAGCGAGGAGCGGTTGGAGGCAGTGGAGATGTCCAGTCTAAGGGCAATGTGTGGTGTAAATATTCTGCAGAAATTACGGAGTGTGGGAAATTAGGAAAAGGTGTGAGTTAATAAAAGTATTAATCAGAGGGCAGATTGGGGTTGTTGAGGTGGTTGGTCATTGAGAAGAATGGATCAAAGTAGAATTGACTGGGAAAAGAATATAAATCTATAGGGGAAGGAAGGCGACGTAGGGGTCGTCCTCGAAAGGGTTGGAGAGAGGGGGTAAAGGAGGTTTTGTGGGCAAGGGGCTTGGGCTTCAGCAAGCCGTGCGTGAGCGGTGTTAGGATAGGAGTGATGGAGACGATGGTACTTGGGACCTGACGATCTGTGGAGTGTGAGCAGGGTTAATATTTAGTGAAGGGATTCAGGGAAACCGGTTATTTTCATATAGTCGGACTTGAGTCCTGGAAATGGGAAGTACAGTGGACCCCTGCATACCGCACGCATCGCATACTGTACAATCCGCATACCGCTTGCTTTTTCGCAAAAATTCTGCCAGTCGCAATACGCAAAAAAACCCGATCACTGCCTTGTGAGGACGCAGTCCTATGTGCGGCTCTGATCCACGCTCACAAAGTTCCGCGGTGGCTTGTTTACAGCAGCCTCCGCGGTAACCATCCAAGCATACAATCGGAACATTCTCGTATTATTACAGTGTTTTTGGTGATTTTTTCTGGTAAATAAGTGGACATGGGCCCAAGAAAGCTTCTTAGTGCCAACCCTACAGCATTAAGGGTGAGAATTATATAGGAGATGAAGAAATCAGATCATTGATATGTATGATAGTGGAGTGGTGTCTCCGAGCTGGCCAGGTTGTATAATAATCTAAAAAAAAAAAAAACCCCAATCAACCATCGCTACTATTGGTGGTACAGCTGCGCTGTACCACCGTCAGCTGCTGCTTACACTGTCTGGCTGCCTGCTGCTTGTCAGTGCTGCTGCACTGTCAGCTGCTGGCTGCACTGTCAGCTGCTGTGCTGGTTGTAACACTATTAAACCTAGGATTTAAATGGCCTGTTATCCCCAGTGTAATGGGGCAACTAAAACAGAGAATAAAGTGTAGACTTATATTTTATCCTTCACCAATTATAACAGCTATTATGTACAAATATGTCATGATAAATATAGTGCACTCCACGGTAAGCAAGGCAGAAATAGAAGCCACAAGATAGCGACGTGGCTTCAACCAGCTCTAGAGTGGGTATGACAAGGGGCAGACAGGAGAGCGGTATCCACATAACCTATGCGATTGTCAATCACTTCTTATTGGCTAAGAACCTGGTCACTAGTTGAACGATGGGGCCCATCATCAACTCTTAGCAACCTGGGTCGATGGTGGGGGAGATAGCCTGTAAATGAGGGTGTGTCCATGCGCCGAATAAAAGGTTAAGTACTCTTTGATGACCACACCCCACCCCTGAAGGCTCAGGATTAGGCTGCCACCTCCAGTGGTAACCGTGCCGCCCTTTTATTTAATAGCACAAAATAATGGGATGCGCCTATTCTCTCCACATCCAACTCTTAGATAGAGCTCAGCTTTAACTTGCTACCAATATGCCAAACCTAAACTTAGAGTGAGACAGGCAGTAAGACAGGCTGCATAGGTCCAAGATACAGGCGGAGGTAGCCCGATCCCCTCACTAAAAAAAACCCCCACATCAGGGGATAAAAAAAGTGCTTGAAAGGGGTTACCACAAATACATCCTAACCTAAATAAATAATAAATAGACTCTTGAACAAAAGAGGCTGCCAACACATTTTCTTTGCCGGCATTAATGAATTTGATATTGTAGGGCTGCAGCCTGAGCGTCCAACGACATAAGCCTTGGTTGTGATTCTTCATGGCGTGGAGATAGACTAAACGGTTGTGATCACAGTAGACTGTGACACCATGCGTGTCTGGCCACACATAAACATCCCGAAATGCTCCAAAGCATTACCAAGCGGCGAGGCTTCTTTTTCAATGGTCAGAGTAAGCTCTTCTGTTGTGGCTCGGAACTTAGCTGACGTATGCGATTGTGCAGCTCCTTGTTCCCGATTTGGAATAGTACGCCCCAACCAGACTCACAAGCATCAACCTATAATGAAAAAGTAAATTGTCTTCTAATTTGAGGACAGGTGATTGGGTGCAGGCACATTAATTTTTTGCTTTATTAAAAGCAGTGTTTACAATCTGACGTCAATTAAAGGGAAACTTTATGATGGTTAAGAGAGGTAAGAGGGGTACAATATCTGAGAAATTCTTACAGAAATCTTCTGTTAAACTTCCTATCATGCTAGAAACGTTGAAGAGATTTCTATCATGAGGAACTGGTTAATCTTTAATAGAAAGAACTTTAGCAAGTTTTGGTGCACATTGCCACTACCTACTTCATGGCTAGAAAGTGATAGTGCTGGCCAAGGAAGATTTAGTATTATTAACTGTTATTGGGGAATTCTTAAAGGTCTCAAACAGAGCTTTACGTCTAAGTAGGTGTTGGATCCCACAGTATACAGACACCACAACAATTCATCTAGGTATGCTGGTGCCTTCAAGTCCTTTATAATAGCCTGATGGATGAGTTTCTGGAATGATGAGGGGGAATTTTCATTCGAAGGGGGTAACTGTATAACTGATAATGACCTCTGGAATCACGAAGGCAGAGATTTCCTTCGCCTTATCTGTCAAAGGTACCTGATAGTACCTATAAGGAGATCTAATTATGTTCCCCCCCCCCCCCTCTTTTTTTTTTTTTTTTTAGACACAAAAGTAGCCTTACCCACAAGTCTTATTACGTATCAGCGAGGAAGTGGGTAAGCATCTGTCGTTGTGACCTGTTACTTTACGGTAGTATGTGCACATACGGAAACCCTCTCAGCCTTTTTTACTAGGATGGCACGTGAAGCCCATGGACTAGATGAACTCCTCACTAAACCATGTTCTATCAAGAAGTCTACTTCATGCTGAAGTAGCCTTGCTTTTCAGGATTTAGCTCTGTAGGGGGAGAGTTTAAGTGGTTTAGATTTTCCCAACATCTACATCATGGTAACCCTAACGTACATTGTTACGGCACATCGAAAAATAGATGTAGGATATGTGATGTGTAGAAGCTCAGTTCATATTGTTGCTTGTATTTCAGGGATAATCCTCCATTAAGGGCTAGGATCCTAGAGGAGGACAGAATTTGAAAGTTTAGTATAATTTCAGAGATAGAGTGCAAAAGAGTCACAGTCGTCCCCTCAGAGGTAGAGGAACAGAGTCAATACTGGGACTTTATCTGGTGTATGAAAAGGCCTTGATTTGATTATGTGGTATGTTTTGTTTTTGCAGGTCGTATCATCTGGGAGCTACCACATAATTTAAATCAGATAATCTACTTACTATCTGCATAAGGTACCGTAAATCTAGCTTCAAGGTGTGGCAGGTATTAGGTTTCCTGCACCAACACCCTGTACTCCTGGATAGGAAGGAGAGGAATTGTGCACTTTTGTCATCCTCTGCTTTCTCTTACTTGAGCTATCTTTAGGTTAGTCCGTGGCTAATCCCGTGCACCTGAAACCTTGAGACGGGTTGTAGGAGTGCTGAGCTTACGTCTTCTCCCATCCATCCTTCTTTGAGCACCCGAAGAGGACCTCGAACATTGTGCCAAGTCAGCTCAAACGGGACGATACCTGTAGACTCTTGCCCGTCTCTCGTTACGAGAAAGCAACAAAGGTAGAGATTCATCCCAATCTGTCGGAAGTGATGCAAAAACTTCTCATCTTGTTTTAATGTCTGGTGGAAATTCTTTCAAGGCGCCTTGGGACTGGGGTGATAGGCAGTGGATAAGTGTGAATTATCCCTAACCTAGTTAATATTCCCTAAATGCTTTGGCAGTGATGTTAGTACCTTGATCCACTGTGTATTGTTTTAGGAATGCCAAAACAGAAATGAATTTTGTTAAAGCTTTGAGAATAGCTTTAGTATCATGATACTACGCATTGGGATCGCTTTCAGGATTCTGGTTACTTTATCCCATAATTGTAAATAATACTGATTTCCTGACTTTGTCTTAGCGTAGTGGACTACACAATTTCGATAATAAATCTGCAAAAGGTTTCAACAGCAAGGTATCGGGTTGGAGAGTGAGGTTTAGTGGAATGTCCAGGTTTCAACTTTGCTTGACATTCTCGGGCAACACTAATATGATTCTTCACATCTTTCTCCTTAATTTTTGGCAATAAAATTTTTTTGTTGATTCTATAAAGGTTTTTGTAATCCTAAGTGACATCCTTGCTGACGTATTAGAGCTTTATTTAATATCTGAGGTCTATTATGGTTCGGAACCACTAACCTGTCGTATTAATTGCCTCCCACGCCTCTATCTCCTTTACCAGTCTCAGTGCAAACCAAATAATCATATTTTACTTCATACTTGATGGATGACCAAACGAGGATTTACCCATGGCTGCCTGAAAAGCGAATTTTATAGCAAGGGTCCTTTCGTTGTTCCTCCGGGAAGGACAGTCCCCTCGGGCATGGAAACAGAGTACATCTGGAATCCTGCAACCTGGGAAATAGGAAGGCTTGATCGGGGTCTGTTCAACTTGATTTACGATGACTCCGGCGGATGTGTCTCATATAACAAAAACGTGGCTATCGAGATCGGAGTGTCCACGGATTAGGTCAACATTCTCCACAGCAACCCTGGGATGTTGCCCGAGTATGGGGCCAAACTGGAGAAGCTTTAATCTTTATAGGTTCAGAACGAAAGTAACAGTAGTATATGTTATTACCAGTTAATAACATGGCATTTTTCATGGGAAATCCTTTGAGACCCCTACATTCAAGTACACAGTGTGTAATTTGCGCGATGTACATGAATTATATGCAAGGAACGGAAAAAGATAGCTCCTCCAAATGCTTCCAATAAAATAACTGAGCGATTCAAAGAAAGTATTCTCTGAAAGGGGTATATCCACTCTGAAAGTGAGCAATGCGATGAGCACTCCCCCATCACGACCCCAATCATCTAAGAGGTAATATGCTCTCTTCGCTAGAACGCTAATAGCTTGTGTAGTTCGTGAAGTATCCCTAAATCACCATAAAGTGTCTCGTTATCAGACCGTCCTTCCCCAATAAGTCGCACTAAGTCTATCATACGGCCGCGCCACTACATCTTGCACTGTCCCTCACTTACTCAGAGACCTTAGAGAGGTATACCACTCTCACAAGTGATCAACTAGCCCGCCGCATGATTATCTACCCGCAGCCTTCCCCCTTTCCCACACGAAGGGTTCCTGCTCCGGGTTTTTGGGCCGTTGGAACTGATGTGACATACTTTATTGCAACCCTGCAAGCACGTACGAAGGTTGCCCTTTACTCACCATGATGACGTTGCGACGCTGGTGTCGTTATGGGCTGGTGCCTCTAATGGATATTGTCTGTCGAGATGCTCCATAAGTAGTTTGCTCTCCGCAGGGGACCATATGTGGAGCAAAAGCGTGGCTCACCAGGTGGACTTGGTTGGATGACGTGGACGCTTCTCCTCGACGCTGGCACTTCATTCTCATTGTTGTCGATCTCTGCTCACGGCCAGACTGTTGAAAAGAGAGGACGGGTACCGACTAGGACAAGGAGCGGTCTCGTTTCGAAAGGTATCAGCCAACCTGCCGCCTCCAATGCAGTGGTAAGTCACGATCCTGCAGAAAGACACGACCTTGGTCCCACCTGACTCCAGCAGGTTATCAATCAGAATAAGCTGCACCAGATCCACAAACGTTAGAAAGGCACCACTCGATTTTTACCAGCTGGTAAAAGCTTTGGTTTGCTGTCCTTCACAAGTCCACAGGATTGACCAGACTGCCGCCTGTTCAATTTGAAGGTCTCTACTATATTTAGCTGAGGATACACTGTATATGCTCCCAACACTGTGGTCTTCACTAATTGATATATCAGAGTATTCTGCTTGGTCAGTTAATACCGAACGTTAAACTTCCATGTGCCTTACCAATAATGCTGTATGAAACTACGCTGCCCCGGGCTGTCCGGCCACCTCAAGGCTCGAGCACTGATTTCGAAGCTTTCGAAAATTGCTCTGGTTCGGCCTCATTGAAGCGGAGGAACAAGCTGTAATGCTTTTTAGTAATCTGAAAATCGTTTAAGATGCGGAAAACTGCCTCTCTCTCTTTCCCCTATCAAATTCTTCCCTTGCGATTGCTCTCTGTTTCCCTAGTTTGTCAAGATTGATTTTTTGCCAGCTCAAGTGCAACGACGCTATCACCCTGAGGAAACCAGCTGCACTATATGGACCATTTTCTCCGTAGGTGTATCCATCTTCCTCCTGCGAGAACATCAGTAGTTTCTTTCCCTAGCTCCCGTAAAGGGAGGAGTTTGATTTGTTTTTTTTGCCATCTCTTCTTCAAATAAGTATGTCAGCATAAGTGAACGCAGTTGCGCAGCAGCTGTAAGAGTGCGTTTTTAGGGAATTGCCAATGGAACGACATTTGCCAACAACGCTGTTAGGCGACAAATTTAGGTAGGTTACTGCCAAAAGTATATGCCGACACCAGGCGTTGACTCGTCTAGGTGGCATAAGTTATGCGCTATGCACAGTACGGAATACCAACGTACACGTTAATTTGCAGAACACGCTTAGCTATTGCACAGTACGATTGCTGAATACGATACAAGAAAGCCGACTGCACACATGATTGACGTAGCGATGCCGAGCCACACTGAACAAGCTAGTGCGAGCTGTTGAAATCGATCACACAATAGCAAGGCTGATCATAAGCAACTGGGACCGAAAATTTGTAAAGCGAATCTGCAACAGCAAGCTACACAATGTTCCTGCTGCAAGCTTCAACCCTAAGCTCAACGTTTCTCTAAGGTCCAGCTCTCGGACAGGCTACCCATATTACAACCTAGATTTCAACATGGCTGTTATCCCAGTGTAATGGGTAGCATATAATCACAGTAGAAAAAGTTTAGAATTATATTATCCTTCACCAATTATAACAGCAATATGTACACTATGTAACAGTGATATAATATAGTGCACTCCACGGTAAAGCAAAGGCAGAATTAGAGCCACATGGGCAGGACCGTTGCTTAAACCAGCCTCTGAGTGGGAATGACAGGGCAGACAGGATGCAGCAGGTATCCAAATAACCTCTGGATTTTCAATCCACCTTCTATTGGCCAGAACCTGGTCACTAGTTGAACGATGGGGCCCCATCATCAACCTCTAGCAACCTGGTTCGCTGGTTGGGGGAGTAGCCTTGTAAATGAGGGTGTGTCCATGCGCCGAAATAAAGGTTACGCTACTCTTGCATGCACACAACCACCGTCAGCTGCTGCTGCTGCCTGTAGAATCACATCTGTCTGATGCCTGTAAGCATCGTCTGCTGCGTAGCATCGTTCTGTGTTGCTGTAGCATGTCTGCTGCTGTGTTTAGATCGTCTGTGCTGTCTGTAGCATCGTCTGTTGATGCTGTAGCATTCATCTGCTGCTGCTGTAGCATCGTATCTGATGCTGCTGTTAGCATGTCTTGCTGACTGCTGTAGACGTCTGCTTGTGCTGTAGCATCGTCTGATGATGCTGTGGCATCGTCTGCTCGCTGCTGTAGCATCGTCTTTGCGCTGTGCATCGGTCTGCTGTGCTGCTGTAGATCGTCTCGTTGCTGCTTGTCGCAATCTGTAATGTTGCTGCTGTACCACCGTCAGTGCTGCTGCTGCAGTAGCACCGTCTGTTGGTGTGGCTTATTGAGAATTACCAAGAAACAATTAACCCCAGAGGATTTGCCACCCAGGATAAACCCAAAAAAGTCAGGGGTCATCGAAGACTGTCTAACTTATTTCCATTGGGGTCCTTTAAACTTGTCTCCCGGGATGCAACCCACACCAGTCGACTAACACCCAGGTGAACAGGAAAAATGCCTGGAACTAGTCCCTCATATTGGTGAATTTAAAGCCAGCAAAGGTTGGTTTGAGAGTTTTAAGAATCGTAGTGGCATACACAGTGTGAAAAGGCCTGTTTGGAAGAAAATGCCAAACAGGACCTACAGTACCAGGGGAAAAGGCACTCCCAGGACACAGTGTCTCATCAGTCATTGCTGCATCTTCAATAAAGGTAAGTGTCATTTTTTTTCTTTTCATTTAGTAATAGTAGTACATGCACAATATATATTGTGCATGTACTACTCTCTATTGTGCATGTATCCTTCTCTTTGTGTGTAGGAAAATGTATATTTCATGTGGTAAAAATTTTTTTTTCATACTTTTGGGTGTCTTGCACGGATTAATTTGATTTCCATTATTTCTTATGGGGAAAATTCATTCGCATACCGAACATTTCGCATAACAATCAGCCCTCTTGCACGGATTAAGGTCGCTATGCGGGGGTCCACTGTACAATGCCTGCACTTTAAAGGAGGGGTTTGGGATATTGGCAGTTTGGAGGGATATGTTGTGTATCTTTATACGTATATGCTTCTAAACTGTTGTATTCTGAGCACCTCTGTAAAAACAGTGATTATGTGTGAGTGTGGTGAAAGTGTTGAATGATGATGAAAGCATTTTCTTTTTGGGGATTTTCTTTCTTTTTTGAGTCACCCTGCCTCGGTGGGAGACAGCCGACTTGTTGGGGGAAAAAAAAAATTGTGAAGGTAATAAGAAAAAAAAAATTCTGATCAGTACTTACCGAGATACAGTGCCGAGAAGTTTGTTCAAAATGATGTGGTGGCGGCAACATCGACGAATTCCACATACGCACATTATGTTATTTAGCGGTTTTTATAGTTTTTTCTTTTCTTTTTCCAATTTTTTTTCTTTTCCTACTAACATTTGGGGCCTGAGAGACCAATACTGTATATAATGTATATATATAAACTCACTGTATTAAACACAATAACTGCACTAAAGTTATTATCATATTATTGTTTACCACTGTTGTTTATTACAATAAACATGCACAAATCTTGTATAATACTAATGTTCTATCATATATTTACATATTTACAATCACTGGACATGGTTTTAGAACTGCTGGAGCTTGTGGAACTCCTTGAAACAAAGCGCCATGCACAGAGGCACCTTACATTCCTCACACATAAACCGAGTGTCTTTGCGTCTTTGTTGCCATCGTTTTGTTTGTGCACAACGATGCATCTCTTCGAGCAAATTTCTTTTTTGAGTTAAAAGGAAGCTGTATTATGAAATGATCCCCTTTCCCCTCCTCAAACGCTTGGGTATATCCTGAGTAATTCGAGGACCTTGTTGTATAGCAGTGTTCTTACCTGGTACTTCATTATGAGTTGTCTGACAACAGACAAACAAAATTTCACCATACGGTGGGTCTGTTACCAGTCTTATTTGGTTTACATATTATATCCCATTGAGCATTGAAATGTCCATGAGATGGAAGAAAAGTTTCATGTACCACTTGTAACTTTACGAACACAGTCAACAAAAACCAATCGCATGTCACATTTGTCAACCAAGCGCATGTTTTGTGTATAATCAATCACTGTCACTGGTTTTCGAATACGTTCATTAGTCACTCAATCAACTTTGCCACTGTCTTGTATTTCATTACGGTGAATGGTTGTCAACAATGTGACATCTCGTTTGTCATGCCACCGTAATGGCATGATGTCATTGACAGTAAACACCTGCATGTCATCACCACGAGCACCTGTGTTGAGCCTGGGCATATGTTTACGATTAGAACGCACTGTGCCACTCACATCTGTCTTGTTCACTCGCATGAAATCGCTGAGTAATGGGCTTGTGTACCAGTTATCGGTATATAATGTATGCCCCTTGCCAAGATAAGGTGCCATCATGTTTCTCACTACGTCACCTGAGATACCCAATAACATCTTGGTATCTTTCAATGTTTTACTTCCCGTGTATACAACAATATCCAACACCAGGCCACTGTCACAATCACAGAGTACAAACAGTTTTATACCAAAGCGTTTCCTCTTGCTCGGTATATACTGCTTGAATGACAGTCAAACCTTTGAACAAAATCAAAGACTCGTCAATTACAAGATTCTTGAATGGATTAAAAGTACTTTTATGCTGAACTTTTGTTTGAGATACATGAAAACATTTCTAATCTTGTATAACATGTCACTTCTGTCAGGCCTTTTTTTGTCAGAGAAGTGCAAATACGTAAGAGTAAGTAAACCTGTTCACTGGGAGATTTCACTGAAGACCGGGGTAGAAATTAGCCGATCTGTGGACCAGTAATGCTTTTATTTATGCTTACAGACATGAGGCATAAACATTATTGTTGCAAAAAGCAAATACATTTCTGCAACAGTCGTCTTTTTTCCACCTTGTAGTCTTGACTGGGGTGATAGGGATCGTATTTGCCATGGTGTACTCAAAATACTTATTATTTTTCCCTGACAATAGTTTCCATCAATGGCTGGTCAAAGAATAATTAAAAAGAATTCCAGTTCATTGGCCGTGGTTCCAAGGGGACAAGTAGGTAGAATTCCACTTGAGAGTCATCAAAGTGGTGAGGCTTGGGAACAAAAATTGGGATTTTGCTGCCAATCCCACATACGGTTTGCTGGTGGATACTGGAAAATCATAGGCTGGTTGTGCGGGTGGTTTGTGTGGGCTGGTGGCTGATGCTCCGCTTTGTCCTTGAACTGACGAGTCAGCAGCGTGGGTCCCCAGCCTGGGCTTGTAAGTCACCCATGGCGGTGCCACTACCATCACCACTACCACCATCCACTGATGCCCGTGGTCTATCCAAAGCCAAGTGTAGCCACATCATCCTCACTATTACTACCTAAAACTGGTGTAGGGCCACAGAATGTACTCCGGGATGTACTCCGTCCCCTGGGCACAGCATAGGGTACACTACCCGAGCGCATGCGGCGGCGAACATACCGACGCTTCACTGGTGAATATGATTCCTCACTTATCACTACTCGAATGATCGTCGAGCGCAATAAAATCACAATCCACATCACTATCATCATCATTACTGAAGTCAGAGGCCTGGCCACGCAAAAATATTAGTTTTCTCTTGCGTTGAGGCACAACCGACCGTGAGTCACGAGTGCTTACACCAGAGGTAGAAGGTTGAGGATTGTCAGGGTTTTCTGCACTATTATCGATATCCTGGTCGTTCCTTTCGGTCACTAACTGATCAAAGCCGTAGAATTCGTCTTCATTTCCACTTCCATCATTGTCAGAACTATCAGATAGGAAGAGGAGAGTACCAATTTTCCGGGGAGTAAGAGCTGACTTGCGACGAGGCATGGTGAACAAGGGTAACTGAGCCGGCGTTCCCAGAATGCTATGCGGGCGCCTAGATTTTTTGTTTATGGCGCACACCCACCATGCAGACCCGTTCTCTCACATGAAGGCCTATGAGCGCTTTCGCGCTAAATTTGACGGCACTAGAATTTTGGCATAGATCTACGGTTTGGACACTCAACGTGAAGCCGTAGATCTACGGGACGGACCCTGAAAGGGTTGAAGTTCCCAGCTTCCCCAAGAAAAAATATACAGCTTGCCTTGTTTCAGCAATATTATTGGGTAGTCTTAAGTGCTTAACCCCTTCACTGTCCAGACCCCTGAAATTAATATTGCTCTCATTGTCCACATTAAGAAAAAATTCTTTTGAAATGTTAGAGAATCTTTTTCTGAAGGTAATGACATCAAAAGTACGAAATTTGATGGAAAAGTTGTGCAGTTACGCAGGCGCAAATTTAGCAGTCTCAGTGCAATTTACATTGGATTTTTTTTGTCTCCTTCCTCAGACCAAACCTAATTACCCCCCAATCCTCCGTTCCCTATCCCATCCTCCTGATCTTCCCCCTCTTCCCCTTTTCCTCCCCTCTCCCAACCCTCTCCTTTCCCTATCCCGTTTGTAGTTTCTGGGGTCCGCTCTTCTGACATTACGGTTTCTAGGTAGGGGTATATGTGCTGGGGTTCATCCCACTCCGTGGGGCCCATTGGGGGTGGTGTAGTTTGCCATGGCATATGAATTGTCTGGAGGTGCCCTGCTCCCTTCCCAGATTTCTGAGGATGATAATAAACTATGCACAATTGCGGTAACTAGTGACATGGTCCTCAGACAAATAGAGAAACTAAAGCTTAACAAATCCCCAGGCCCTGATGAACTGTTTGCAAGGGTGTTAAAAGAATGTAAAGAGGAACTTAGCATACCGTTGGCTAATGTTTTAACATATCACTACAAACTGGCATAGTGCCTGATAAATGGAAAATGGCAAATGTAATACCTATTTACAAGACAGGTGACAGGTACTTGGCTTCGAACTATAGACCAATAAGCCTTACCTCCATAGTGGGAGTGTCTCCTGGTGTAGCAAAATTTAAAAAAAAAAATATTTTTTCTTACGAAATGATAGAGAATCTTTTCCCAATTGTAATGACACCAAAAACACGAAATTTTATGGAAAACTGACGGAACTACGCTCTCGCGAAGTTAGCGACCTCGGCGATATTTACAAATCTGCGATTTCGCCCATTTTGAGCCCTATTTTCGGCAAATTCCATTGTTCCAGTCGACCAAACTCATAGCTATTTCTTTAGAATTCCATTTTTTCTATCGACTGAGTACGAGAAACTGCCCATTTACTGATTTCAACTACCCAATAACGTGGTCAGAAATTTGCAATTTGGCCAATTTCATGAAAATTAAAAAATATGACAATTTCAAAATAAGGTCCAGAATGAACAATGCAGACATTCCTGGCTTAAAATAACATTTTCTTTGTTCATTTAGAAAGTCTCCAAGCCCCTCTGATATTACCCCTTGCTTTCTATTTTGAATTTTTATTCAAACAAAAAATAGAAGAGTTACTGTTATACAGACTACTGCAATACTGTAATAATTGTATAAATAACATCAACCCATTCATGATGGGATATTAGAATGGCTAGTTGGACATTTATTGGTTAATGACATCATTTGTTTACTTTTGAACATCGGCAAAAATCAAACTTACCCCCACGTTGTGCTCCATTTCCAGGTTTCTTTTATAGTAAAATCAATCAAAATCACCTCCTTTTTTATAATATGTTTTCCCCTTTATCAAATGGAACAAGAAAACGAGAATAAACCATAAAAAACTAAACGAAAATAGACCACAAGTCTGGGTTTTATTAAAAAAAAAAAGGTCGG